TTTTTATCAGCTTGCAAAGTTGAGTTTTTTATGATAGAAAGAAAGAAAATTACTTGGCTTGACAATATAAAGTTTATTTTCTTGTGTCATTGAATAAATATTTCACTTGTTCACTATGCTTACTTGTCAAATATTTTCACTACTCAAAGATAAACTTCATATCTTCACGCCCATGAGTAATATCCTCTATATATTATAGGATAACCATATGCTAGGTCTGATAAAGATTAATAATTTAAAAAAAAAATTTAACCTCAAAAGTTGAATCACCACATGGTTGGCTTAGTTGGTTATATTAGGCACTAGGCTATTGTTGCCCTGCGAGCAGAGTCTCCTTTAATCTCCTCTATGGGCGAGAGAAGGAAAGGAGACTCTGCAGAAATCGTGTAGAATGTTATTTGAGCATGCGCAGCGGTTGCTAAGAAACTAACTCATTCCCAAGCTCACTCGTTTTATAAATGGTTTCCTTCTCTCGCCCGTAGAGGAGATAAAAGGAGAGTCTGCTCGCAGGGTAGGCTATTGTTCAATTAAGTCTCAAATAAACAAACACTCAGGGTCTAGACCTGGTTTCCTGATGCAGATGGCTCAGATGACCATGTAAAATAGCACTCCCTTCTCAATTAGAAACATTAAAAGAGTGCTACAAGTTTGTCAGTTGTGACTGTCAGGTGTTACCCTCTCTTAAATTTGATTTGATTTGATTTGAGTGTTATATATATATATATATATATCTTACCTAGTGTATGGCATGTGTATGTTATCAATCCTACAAGACAAAAAAAGTAATTATGGTACTGCAAGAAGTTCAAGCAAAATCAATAAGAAATACTTTATTATTTAGCACTTTATAATAACAGCCATCCATATAGAACTTGTTAACATGTGACCAGTAAGTTTATAACTCAAGAGAACCAGCCTTAATAATTATGGGATACCATCTCTGATAACTCTTTCAGTGCCTAGTGATAGACATCCCGAAAGATATATCAGCAATAACATCCTATAATTTCTGATATACTTTTGATATACTTGTATACAGTCAATGTCATTAATGTTGTCCACCGTTAAAAGACATTTACACATTACACATTTACACATTTACACATTTAGACTAAAAGATATATCACATGTTTCATTATGTATTCTTTGCCTCTTGTGCGTCAGCCTGAACTTTAAATGTAAAATTCAACTTGTGAAGTGAAAATGCAGAATGCCCTGAACATTTAGTGAGAATTTAAAATGGAGAATAGTATTTCAGCTTTTGTTTTATGCCAGAACCTTCGAGGAAACACGTGATATTTCTTTTAGTCAAAATGTCTAAATGTGTAAACGTGTAAATGTCTTTTTTGGTGGACAACGTGACATTGACGTTAATGACATTGTATATGTACAAAAGGATCAGAATTCCTGACCTCTCTCTCTCTCTCCCTCTCTCTCTCCCTCTCTCTCTTTTCTCTCTCTCTATATGTATATCAAAATAAGGTTGGGATTTTTTATTGATATGTGAGGTTAACCCTAGGCTTAGAGAAATATCTATGTAGAGTTTTGGCTGTGTTACATGTTATTCTTTAAACAATATATTAATAGACGTTCTCGATAGTGTTAACCACTTAATTTCTTTCGTACTTTAATGTGAGTGTACGTTCCAACATAATTTTTAGCACTAACCATTATTTTTGAAGATATCGATTAATTCCTAAGTGCTTTCAAGCATTGCAGATATTATCATGCTAATTAATTAACACGTTTTTCAATAGCAATTAATAATAATGGCAAAACAAACAATATAAAAAAATTGAGGAAAAAAAGTTAACACATTTAAAAACACATGAATGCTTGAAACTTTTATATGAATAATGTAAAAAATAAACTTGTACGAAATTTATATATTACATAAACTTTTATTGGTTTTAAAATATAAGTTAACTGTCCAATTTTATATTATTACGTAATATTTTCCAACAAAAAAAAAACACTGGCAAATTTTCGTATGTAGAAATAAAGTACATAGACAATCACAGGCAAAATAAAAGAATAAAGCTTTTTACGAGAGGTAAAAATAATCAGATCTGGAGTAGAAAAGCAAGAATTAGTCTGCAATAAATGAGGGTATAAAAAACATTTGCCTCCTAGACACGATTTTAGGTCTGGYTTCTTAACTGTACGAATAATCAGATCCTTTCAAATATTACAAGACAGATCAGGGGCCATTTTATAATCATAAAGAAATAACGTACTGTGAGGAAAGCAAGCTCGATCAACTCAAGTGTTCGAGAACCCGCTATCAGAAACTCGAAATATATAATTCCAAAATCTTACCTGATAAAATAAGTTGTAGGGCCAAAACAGCGGTTAAATTGTTAACAAAACTCTTCAGAATCTGAATAAGGAAGATTTAATTCCCAATTAGAATAAAATAATTCAGGAACCACACAAGGAGAAAGTAGGATAAATGACGTTTTAGAGAGAATGGTGTCAAAACTTACTCCTTTATTGATAAACATTTTCTTGAACGCATAAGCCCAACCACGTATTCCTTTACGCTTTGTTCTTCTAGTTTCACCCCATTTGTATATATCTTTGCGTCCTTCTTCTATATAATCTTTGTCTAGTGAGCTAAGTATACTCGTTTTACTTTTGTGATACGACATCTTGATCACAATATAGTCAGTAAAACTACTTGTTGAAATTAATTCACTGATGCAATCTGCTCGTTGCCTTCATTAAATTAGCTGTGAATAAGATGGCTTGGAAGTACCAGGCATGGATACTGGCTTGGTTTTGGTTTTAGGAGGAAATCGTAAAAAATAATTCAATTTGCGCCGGTTTTCCTTGTAACTATAATTATTGTCCCGTGTCGTGTTATCACAGCTTTCAACTCCAATATTTCGGAACCAAAACGAACACACGACTGCTCTCCGAACACAATCCGATGCTTTCCGACTWTTTTCGCGAAATCATCGTCTTTTCTAGAAAAATAATAAAACTCTTGCATTTTCGTCAGAAACTTCTAAGTTKTAACTGATATTAAAAATTCGAATTAAGACAAAGGGTCATTTTTCTCTTTTGTTTGAAATAATGTAAACTTTGGATCATTTTGGTAAATATTTGAGGATGGTCACGTGATACGTACTCAAAGATGAGAGTATGTGGACCGCGTGGCACTAATGAAATAGTAGAAGATAATATAGGTAAGTTGTAGTGCTTGGGAACGAGGTTATTCCGAGCGAAAGCCCTTGGAATTAAATTCGGAAAAATTAATTTCCGACCTCGCTGGGATTCCAGCACTACAACTTACCTATATTATCTTCTGATACGTACTCAGGGAACCCAAGCCGGCGGATTTGATCGAGTTAAAAAACTGGATGAAAAAAGGAAAATCTTCAAATAATTTCTCTTGGAATCTTCCTAATCTTTATAACATGAATWAATGAAAATAAAAGAAACTCTAGTGACAGAAATGAAGAAAATTCGGGAACCCTCTATAAAAATATTGGCTACTTCGTAAAAAATTACTTTAGCGACCTTTAAGAGTCCGTGTAAGGATCGAGCAAAGTGAGAAATGGCCCAAAAATCGACCTACCTCAAACTTTGTCTGTAGAAACCCTACTATCTGACTAATACACTGGAGCAATTATTTCTCGAAAAAAAGTTTTTGAATTTTTTTATAAGCGTATAACGAATTTCGTCATTTTAGAGGGCACGAAAGCGAAAACTTATGCACTAGTCAATTGAAACCCCCACCCCCCCGATCCCCCGCGAAATACCGGGGAATTTAACATTTGAGTGGTGTTAAAATCAGACATTTTCCCCGGTAGTCGGGGACACATTCACTGTTAAAACCGCCGCTATTGTGGCCCCCTTATTTTGGTTTAGTAGTCAACAAGAAGCACATTTCACGCCAACTCCAAATTCTTGTGCTACACAGTGCCAATTGTTGAGTGTTCCATGCACTAATATTCATTGCTCAATATTTTCATGGGCTCTGAACCTCAAATCGTGCGAAAACGTTTAGGTTTACGTCTAGTCAGCTGAGAGTTTAATGGTATTAAATTGAAAATGAACAATGCTTGTAAATATTGCGAAGCAGTAGTTTTAATAGATAAATCATGATCTGATTCTACATTCGAACTGACCGAAACGACTTAACAACCCGCCTATAAGAACCTGTTAGGCTAAAATTCTCACTTTAAGACCCCTCCACATAAGAACCTATTAAGGTACTATCGTCGTGTACGGATTAACGAAGTACGTCATAGGTTTCCGAACACACGAGTGGGACTTAGAAATTTTGGTTCTTCTCACTTAGAAAAAAATTAAGTGAAGACACCAAGAATCGAACTCGGTACCTTCGGCACCAAAGAACTACTACAATGCCAACCCCAACCCTAACCCTAAACCTAAACCTAACCCCTAGACCACGAAGTGAATTCGGTTATGTGGTCTCATCTTTTAGTCATATTTAAACGATGTATCATGAGCGCGTGCACATAAATATTTATTATAGTTTAATTTATGCTATCGTAGGGTACGACTACTAGCCGATTACTTGAAATTTGAATTTGAATAGAATTCCCCTGAATAGAATTCCCGTACACGACGATGCAACCCCTATTAAGGTTACAATTTTAAGAAAGGTTCCAAACAGTGGAGTTCAGTGTAAAAGTGTATAGGTAGAAACTGCTATAAGTTTGTTTGAGCATGTGTTTTGTGTAGAACATACTGCTCTGTACTAGGTTACGGGCTGCCTGTGCTTGGAATCACAACGCCTTCTTGGTATTTTTCAAGATGGCCGACCTCTTGTTTCCAGACCCTTACATATTCAAACGAGCGTTAAAATCCCCGCTCGATTCACCGCTGAGAAAACCATTCGTTAAATCCCCGAACCCCCTGTGCAATCATGCTGTTAAAAGCACATCAAAAACGCGTCACGTCCCCGTTCAGTGCCCCGCTATCCGCGGGGGTCGGGGGTCGGGGGTTTCAATTGACTAGTGCATAACTGGTTAGTATAGCTTTTTGATATTTTTCGTGTCAAACGCCCAAATCTTTAGATTTAGCGGAGTTTTGGGAAAYTCCAGCTGTCCATGCAAAGAATGCAGGTTTTGTAAAAGCAGAGTCTGTACAACTGGAGTATTTCATGTGCTTTCCGCTCTCCATACATAAGGAATGCGTATGTAAACAAAAAAGCTAAAATTTGCATAATTAAGATTATATGCTTGCCGTGCTTGCCAAGCTCTGAAAAACTGCTCAAAATAATTCGWACAGCAGAAAAATATACCAATTTATGTTCGCACATGTTCCAAAATAGTTTCAGTTGCATTTTAATAGTTATTCGGAGTTCTAGAAACTATTTATAATTTTTGACGTGGATAGCTTTAGTTWACGAGAATTTCATGTAAACGCGAAAATAGGTAAGAAAGSATGCAGCTCCCTTGCGACAGAAGTGGAGTGSCCGCGAACTTTAAATCGAAAAAAATTACTACAACACTTGTAGTTTCCTGTGAAGTGTGTGGTCTTAGATAACTAAGGCTACTACCTTGGTTTTGACCTATTAGAACATTGGCTATTTTACACTTCTGTGATGAAACTAAGGCCAAAGTATGCTCTATTCAAAAATAATTTTCGCTCAGTAAATTTAGTCAAAATATAAAACATTATACTTTATCTTGCGGCCCAAGGGCATGAAAATATTCCTTCAAAGTTTCATCAGAAACAATCTTTTGGTTTTTCTTTGAGCGAATCTTGAAGTTCGCTAAGTTTTCGCTTTCGTGCCCTCTAAAATGACGAAATTCGTTATACGCTTATAAAAAAATTCAAAAACTTTTTTTCGAGAAATAATTGCTCCAGTGTATTAGTCAGATAGWAGGGTTTCTACAGACAAAGTTTGAGGTAGGTCGATTTTTGGACCATTTCTCACTTTGCTCGATCCTTACACGGACTGCCTCTTAAAAAACTTAACAGCGGAGGAAAAAAAAGTTAAAACTGGTTTAATCCAAAATGTGAGTAACAGGGAGAAAGAGGCACTACTTTTCAAAGATCAGCTAAGATTTTTKTGCTTTATTTTACATTTTTTACGCTTTTATTGAGGTTTTTAAACATCGCCATACATTTTTTCAGAATACAGAAACTTAGCTTGGGCTACCTGTGAGAGCAGTGACAGCTACATTACAATATGACGTGTCTTAAAGCAAATATCTCARAACTGTAACAACAAAAAGAAAACTGAAAAAAAGGAACCCGATATTTTTTAGAACTTAGAAATTCAACTAGCCACAAAATACCATATTGTAGGCATAATATCACGCGTATTAAAATTAGTCGAAATTATCACCGTTGTTGTTCAGTATTCTGTTCCCCTCAATAAGCTGTGACATCATAGTATTTGCTTAAAGAATAGAATCTTAGCCAAAGAACAAGCTAGTAGGTCTTGTTTAATCAAAAAAGCAAATAAAAACGACTTTAAAACAATRGCATGGCGTCTTTTTACATCAAGGGCAGATCAAAGAGATTATCCGACCTGACATACCAAAAACACGTAGAAAACAAACCAAAGTTTGAACTCTTATTGTTTCAATAGCTAGGTCGTAAATTTCAAAGAGTCAAACTTGGAGTGAAAATAACAGAACTAACTCAGTGGTTAGTGTATTACTAAGGTTCTAGGCTAGTACATTCCGAGAAGCTGAAGCCGAAAAAAGATCAATCTGACGAAGATACCAAGCCAAGACGAAGGTTATTATTTTCAGTAAAAGGTTACCAGCCAGAACTGACTTTATACGTAAGTATAGTAGACAGACAAACTACATGAACCAATTGAAAAAACAATGTTGAAACACTGTCATAATCAGCTTGGTCAGTTTACTGTGTCTGGCGAAGTTAAGTTTGCTGTGTTTGGCAGCGGCCTTTGGCTTTAAGTCATGTTGAAGTGAGTCTTTTGGGTGCGCAATGAGTTGCCGTTTGCCAAAGAGCAATTAGAGAATTTTRGATTGACTTTTTTTCTTCCCGCCAACGGCAAACGTGACCATGTTTTCATCGTTTTCCTGTATTTTACTTTACCTCTTGCAAACTTTCATATCACAAACAAATATTCTTTTGTTTTTCTACTACTTGGATTTTRTTGCGATTCTTTTTCAGTAATTTAAAAGAATTTTTAACTGATCAACTGACGTTACACRTTTGCCGTGAAYGTCAATCTAAAACTCTCTAATGCCACGTTATTCGAAATTGCGTTTTCTTTCTCATTCTTTCTCGAGCTCCCTCTCAGYAAAAAATCACAACTGTGTGTGCGAAATTGTTCTGTAAAATTATGACACAAGAAATTYAAAGGAAACGAATTCAGTATTTCAGAGAACTCATAGTCTGCCTAGGTTATTCTTTCAAAGTCTTTGAGACCACTGTCATTATTTACAAGGGGAGAGGTGGTGGTGGTGGTGNTGTTTCCTTTATCCAGACCCCTCCCCTGCCTTTCATCAGATGCGCATTTTTTTAGATCCTCTTCGTCTTCTTCCAGTTGTATACAAGCCTGAAAAATTAATTGAATAACCATTTCATAGTATGTGCCCCCCYTCTCTCCAATGCAGCCACTATTGAGTAGCAGCTTCCTCCCCCTCTCTAAATAATGACTGTTCCCCTATATTATTTTTCTCCTAAATTGTTTCGACTTTCAAAGTTAAGAAAATAAATCAGAAAAGACATGAAGGTATAACGGGTCGTGATATAATGCTTTTCTTCCCAAATTGCAAAGCTCCCAAACTCCTTTCCTAAGCCCTGAGGATCGGTTTACACTCTTATCTGAAAGGCAATGATTTAGTATTATTTCGTTTACTGAAAATTTAATTTCAAATTCAGATTTTCCTTCGCAAATTCACCGCAATCATGAGCCGGAAGGTCAGTTTGTTTACTGTCAGGGAAGAACCAAAACCAAAATCGATTCTGAAGCCCTTACGCAAGTCTTCGGTACAGAACTGTTACAATATTAGCTTACGCAGTTGTAATTAGATACTTAGAGAAGTGATTGTTTGATTAAAGACGCATAACTATTTCCCTACCAACACGAACACGTCTTGAAACAAGAACCAACCCGAAAAAGAAGAGCCATCAAACGTTGATAAAATTCCCTCCACAATCTACAGTGTCATTGCTGCAAAAAATGTTTCTAAAGGATTAAAAGAGAAATCCAAGGATTTGATGGTCTYGAGAAGGAAGCGAGGAGATTGGGGAGAGTACGATTTAGCGCATGCGTGGTCGCCCGAGGATTTTGCAAATGATGATGGCCGCTCAAGTAGAAACACTGTCAGTAGACTGGAACGAGAAGAAACTAGCGCTAGTGATTTCTTTGTTAACATGCCGAGACCTTACGTCATGAAACCGGTGAAGCTTTTCCAGGTATGTGTTACGGATCGAGATCAAACCGAACTATGGTCCAATTTTATATATATGGGAACCATTGCTTT